ATCTTGTTTCCAAAGATTCCCGAGCCTTCCTCTTACATTTCTAATCAAGATTTGATGCCTCATGTTCGCTTTTAGAGCTTCAAGATTGAAGGAACGCAAGGAGCAAGTCAAGAGATCGGTGCACGTATGCGATGGGGGCATCATCTTTGCCACAAACCCACCAAAATATCCATTTCAAGACTGCCTACCTTGGTGTTCATCATCATCACCATGTCGAGCGCACGAGGTTTAGCTTGGACGAAGAAGGGGAAGGATGCCCTGTAGCTAGGTGCGGTCGCGCACCTGGGTGGTGCGGGCGCACCAGGTGCGGGTGCGGGCGCACCTACCTGGGTCCCTGCCCCGTACCCTTTTTCCCGCGGCCACTCTTTTCCCGTGTGCGTCCGCACCTCCATGGGTCTCTTTTTGACGATCTAACTAAATTCTCTGTAGTTAGTTTTACTATATATAGCTTTTTCTTCTACTTTTAGAGAGAGATGAATTAGAATTAGTTTAGATTGAATTTTTGGTTAGAGAGAAAAACACTTGTTCTTAGATTTTTAGAGAGAGAAACTTTAGGTTTGATGATTGATGATTGAAGATTGCTACATTTGGTTTGATTTCTATCAAGTTTGTAAGAATTATTTTCACTTTAATTCAATATTTTGTTTGATTTCAATTGTTTTGTTGATTGTTCAAGTTTGTTAGTAGTTTGATTGATTTAGTTTGATTTCAATTGATGAATATGAATTTGTTGGTTAGATTAGCTTGGATTTTGATGTTCTCTTAATGGATTGTGAGTAGTTTTATTGCTAGGGTAATGGTGAAGCATGTATGAGTAATGGATTTAAGTTAATTGGGGAAAATTGATTGAGTTGATGATGTAAATAAATTGGTTAATCAATTTTGTGCATGTGTGTGTTTTTTATTTAGGCTTGATCACCCTAGTTATTCACACTAGATTGCTTTGCAAGTTTGCATTGATACGGACAATTGATTTGTGGCTTGCATTTTCACGATTGAGGTGTCTTGTGATGTTTCATAGCTAGAGTTTATCGTAGTTGACGCTAGTTAGACCTCTAAGAGAATAGCATGATATGCTCTATTGGTTGCAAAATTGATCTTGCCTCACATTTCTTGACTTAGTCGATTGACCTCCCAATTGATTGAATTCATTATGACTACATGTGGATCCCAAACCCTAGCACCTTATACATTTGATTCTATCTAGCTTAAGAGTTGTGTTTGCCTTAGTATAGAGATTACACCCTATCATTAGACTTCGGAGTAGCTTGACTATAGGCAATAGACAATAGCCCACCATTCCTTTGGGTTCGACCCTTAACTTACCATATACTAGTATAGGGTGGTTAAGTGTTTATAAATTTTGTTTGACCTTTGGAAGGGGTAGATAACGACCTACGTTTTCCATTGATCAAAATGGCACCGTTGCTGGGGAATGGTGTCGTGATTGTGTATTGTTGTTGAGTCTATTCCATCTTATTCAAAAATACAAAAAGATTTTCTTTTAGGCTACATTTGTAGCCGTGCTACTAATAATTTTGTTTGAGAATTGTGTGTGCAAGTGAACATGGGAGAAGCTCAAAGAGTGACGTTGAAGGAGTTGGGCACTCCGGGTGCTTACAAGTATGAGAGTGGAATTGTTCCATTGTTGGTTCCGGATAATGACTTTGAAATCAAACCGGCTATGATTACCTTGGTCGAGAGGAAACAATTTGGAGGTATAAAAAGTGAAAATCCTCACAATCATCTCAAATTTTTTGAGAAGTATTACAATACAATTGTGGTAGCCGGAGTTGCTCAAGAGTACATAAGGGTCAAGTTGTTTCCCTTTTCTCTCATTGAAAGAGCTCTAGAGTGGTTGGACAAAGAGGTCAAACCAAGGTCCCTAAGAATATGGGATGAGGTCACAAAAGCTTTCTTATCTCGCTTCTTCCCGCAAAAGAAGACGACGGAATCAAGGACTTTGATCCAAAACTTCTAGCAAGGGCCTAGTGAGAGTCTCTACGAAGCATGGGAGAGGTATAAGGAGTATCAACGACAGTGTCCACATCATAGGATTCCTTCCTATCAAATTATACAAATCTTCTATGGTGGGTTGAGTTATGAGCAAGCTTAGATGTTGGAGCTAGAGGCCCGATAATGAACAAAACGGAAGAAGAAGTGGTGGATGCAATAGATGAAGTGGTGCGACATTATATGAATTGGCAAGAAGTGGAGAAAGATCCAACTAGCAAGGGGTGCTCAATCGAACAACTCAATGCCATTAATGATTTGACCACTCTAATTGCGGATTTGGGGAAAGAGGTTGTATCCCTCAAAGCCAAGCTTGAAAGTCCACCTTTGCAAGCTCCGATTCTTCCCTCCCAAATTAAGGGGAGAGGTACACCTTCTTACCTTAACTCTAATTCTTCTTCTTATTGCATGATTAGATAATGTTGGCCTTGTGATTTATGTGGAATGAGTGATCATGATGCTTCTATATATCCCAATGTTCCTTGTGATGAATGTGATGGAATTGAAATTGAGCATGTGAATTATGTTGATAATCATGATTGTGAACCTAGAATTGATGCTCAAAGAAATGTTGGAAATAGGAATTATCATAACCATATGAACTATGATAATTATAACCAAAGTGGAGGTTGTAGAAATCATGGAGTCCAAGGGATTCATGGTAGCTATAACAACCATGGTTATAATGGTCAAAGTCATGGTCGAGGGCATGGGGATCATAACCAAAGTTATGGTAACTATAGTCAACATAGTGGCCAAAATCAAGCTAGGGGTAATTGGAATAATCAAAGTAGGGGATATTTTCAACCAAATGTTCAAAGAGGTTCCCCACTTGGTTTCGTTCCAAATACTCAAGGCTCAAGTGATGATTCCTATGATCAACCATTTTCTTCTAGGAATTTCTTGGAAGGGATTATTGAGAAACAAGCCAAAATGTTAGAAACCTACATGGCCATGAATGATGAGAAGTTCAATGACATGTTGACTTATATTAAGGATTTAGGTGACAAACTCTCTCAATTGGCTAATGTGTTTAAAGAATTTGCGGATTCCTCTTCTTTGACTCTACCAAGCTTAGAATCTATGAACCCTATGGATGCAATTGTTACTAGGAGTGGTAGGGTCCTTGAGAGTGGATTACCTAAGAAGAGTGATGCTAGGGAGAGCACTAGCAAGAGTCCTATTGAGATTGAGGGAGATGAGAGTCCCTTAAGTGAGAAAGTTGTTGAGGAACAAGTAGAAAGAGTGAAAGAGAAAGAGAAAGAAAAAGAACTTTACAAGCCCAAGTTCCCTGATCCCCAAAAGTACAATAGGCACAAATTGGATGAGCAATTTGGGAAATTCGTAGAGATGCTTAAGCAACTTCATCTAACTCTTCCTTTCACCGATGTTGTAGAACAAATGCCAAACTATGCTAAGTTCCTCAAAGAGATTTTGAGTGGAAAGAGGACATGTGACATGACGGAAACGATTAGTCTAACCGAGAATTGTAGTGCAATCATCATGAATAAGATGCCTCCTAAGTTGAAGGATCCCGGAAATTTCTTTGTCCCTTGTGCTATTAATAAGACTCAAATTGATAATGCCTTATGTGACTTAGGAGCTAGTGTTAGCCTTATGCCATATTCGGTCTATCAAAGACTAGAGCTAGGGGAACTTTTAGCTTCCAAGATCACATTACAATTAGCCGATAGGTCAATTAAGATTCCAAAGGGTAAGGTAGAAGATGTTCCCTTAAGGGTGGGGAAATTCGTCATTCCGGTTGATTTTGTAGTGTTGGATATGGATGAAGATGCTACTATCCCTATCATCTTAGGTAGGCCATTTCTTGCTACATCGGGGGCTATGATTGATGTCAATAGTGCTAAGATATCGCTAAAGATAGGAGAGGAGGTAGTTGAATTTGATTTGAATGAAGGCATGAAATATCCCTCTTCTTATTTTGAAAATTGCATGAAATTTGAAGTTCTTGATAATACTGTGCAATCCATGCATGAGCACTTGCTCACATCTAATGATCCTCTTGAAAGTGTTTTGTTGAACAAAGAAAAGATAGGTATCCCAAACAAGGAAATGCAATTGTATGAGGACTTGCTTGATGGAAGCAATGAAGGGAGTGATGAGAAAATTTGTATGGGGATATCAAGTCAAGATGCTTTGCATGTGGCCTCGATCAAAGAAGTAAAGGTGTTCCTATAGTAGAGCTCAAACCTCTACCATCACACCTTAGGTATGAATTCTTAGGCCCAAAATCTACTTATCCCGTCATTGTTAGTGCATCCTTGAGTAAGAGCCAAGCTCAAGAGCTATGTGATGTCTTGAGAAAGCACCAACGCTTGAGGAAGGCACCCTTCCCTCTATTGAACGACAACGTAAGCTAAATCCCCAAATGGGGGAAGTAGTGAAGAAAGAGATCACGAAGCTTTTGGATGCGGGGATCATATTCCCCATCTCAAGCTCTAGGTGGGTCTCCCCCATGCATGTCGTTCTAAAGAAGGGGGGTATGACCGTAGTCAAGAATGAGAAAGGTGAGCTCATTTCGACTAGAACGGTTACCGGTTGGCGGATGTGTATAGACTATAGACGTCTAAATACATCAACCAAGAAGGATCACTTTCCCCTCCCCTTCATTGACCAAATGCTTGAAAGACTTACAAGGCACAATTTCTATTGTTTCCTTGATTAGTATTCGGGATTCTTTCAAATTTCAATCCATACCGATGATCAAGAAAAGACAACCTTCACATGCCCCTATGGTAATTTTGCATATAGAAGAATGCCCTTTGGATTGTGTAATGCTCCGGCGACCTTTCAAAGGTGCATGATGAGCATTTTTGGGGACATGTTGGAGGAAGAAATGGAGGTTTTTATGGACAATTTTTCCGTGGGAGGAGTTTCGTTTGAGGATTGCATTGAAAATCTTGGAAAATGCCTTGTAAGGTGTGAGAAGGTTCAACTTAGTGTTAAATTGGGAAAAATGCCACTTCATGGTGGAAGAAGGGATTGTTCTTGGACACAAAATCTCTCATAAAGGAATACAAGTTGACAAGGCCAAGATTGAGGTGATAGAGAAATTGCCACCCCCGGTTAATGTGAAAGGAGTAAGATCGTTTTTGAGCCACACCGGGTTTTATAGGAGGTTTATCAAAGACTTTTCTCTCATTGCTAAGCCTTTAAATGATCTTCTCCAAAAAGATATTTATTTTGTGTTTGATGACACTTGTTTGGAGGCTTTCAACAAGTTGAAGAAAGCTTTGACTTCCACTCCCATTGTCCAAGCCCCTAGGTGGGATTTGCCCTTTGAGCTCATGTGTGATGCTAGTGACACGGCTATTGGGGGTGTGTTAGGTTAAAGGATTGATAAGAAGCTCCATGTTATCTACTATATGTCGAAGACCCTAAATAGTGCTCAAAGGAATTATACAACAACGGAAAAGGAGTTTTTGGCAATTGTTCATTCTTTTGAAAAGTTCTGTTGTTATTTGTTGGGGTCTAAGACTATTGTTTTCACCGATCACGTGGCTTTGAAGTATCTCTTTGGGAAAAAGGAATCCAAGCCAAGGTTGGTTCGTTGGGTTCTTGAACTCCAATCTTTTTATCTTGTGATCCGAGATAAGAAAGGTGCGGAAAATGTGGTTGCGGATCATTTATCTAGGCTTGAGGATTTTCAAGTTCAAGATGATGGATCCCCTATTTAGGATAAGATGTTGGATGATTCCTTGTATGTTATCAATGTGAAGGAGCTCCCATGGTTTGCCGATTTGGTAAATTTTCTTGCTTGTGGGGAGTTTCCTCCTTCTTTTTCCAAGAATCAAAAGAAGAAGCTCAAGAGAGAAGCTAGGCATTATGTGTGGGAGCCGATTTTTTATAAGAGAGGTGTGGATGGTTTGTTGCGCCGATGTCTGCCAAATGAAGAAATACCAAATGTGTTGAAGATGTGCCACTCGGATCCTAGTGGTGGTCATATGGGTGTTTCTAGAACGGCTTCTAAGGTGCTTCAATGTGGCTTATGGTGGCCAAACCTCTTTAAGAATGCTTTGGAATTTTTCAAGAGTTGTGATCGATGTCAAAGGACCGAGAACATTTCAAAGAGGAACGAGATGCCCCAACAACCCATTCTTGAGTTGGTAATTTTTGATGTTTGGAGTATAGATTTCATGGGTCCTTTTCCTTCTTCATTTGGGAATCGATACATTCTTGTTGCCGTTGATTATGTGTCAAAATGGGTTGAAGCCATTGCTTCTCCAACAAATGACCATAAGATGGTAATGAAGTTGTTCAAGAAGATTATATTCCCAAGGTTTGGCATTCCCAAGGCGGTCATAAGCGATAGTGGCTCTCATTTCGTGCATTATGCTTTTCACGCATTACACTTTGGGCTCCCTTACCATCCTCAAACTAGTGGGCAAGTGGAGGTGTCCAATCGTCGAATTAAGTTGATACTTGAGAAGACGGTTGCAAGAAATAGGAAGGATTGGTCGAAAAAGCTTGATGATGCCTTATGGGCATATCAAACGGCCTTCAAAACTCCTATTGGTACCACTCCTGACCGATTAGTTTATGGGAAGTCTTGCCATCTTCCGGTGGAGCTTGAGCACCGCACTCATTGGGCAATTAAGAAGATTAATTTTGATTTGGGAAGTGCAGGGAACAACGTTGGTTGGATCTCCATGAATTGGAAGAGCTTCGTTTGGATGCCTATGATTGTGCTAGTTTGTATAAGGATAGAGCTAAGGAGGTGCATGATAAGCTCATTGAGAAGAAGGAGTTCAATCCGGGAGATAAGGTGTTCCTCTACAACTCAATAATGAGGCTCTTTCCCGGAAAAATGATATCTCGTTGGACCAGTCCATTTGTTGTTCAAGAGGTCTTTCCAAATGGTGCTATTGAAATTTCTCCTTTGGACCTTTCAAGGGCTTTCAAGGTCAACGGACATAGGCTCAAGCGCTACTATGATGGAGTTTTTGTTGGATTCATTCATGATATGACTCTCTATGATCCACCTTGAAGGGGTGGAGAATGTCAAGCTAATGAGTTTAAACAAGCGCTTATCGGGAGGCAACCCGAGCTTCTAACCTTTTCTCATTTTCCTTTGAATTTTCTTTTTATTTTGATGATTTTATCCTCTTTTAATCTTGTTTTATTTTGTATTTTAGGTGAATTTGATTTGAAATCCAACAATCTTGATGCCAAGTTTGAGGTAGAATTGTCCAAGTTCATGTGTTAGAAATTTGTGTAAGTATGGAACTTGGTGGGTTCTTTTGGTGGGTTCATGAAATTCTTACTTTGAACCCACTTGTAGGCGTCGCTCGAAGTGCGCCTACGTTAAAGCATGTGTGAATATACTTGGCAGTCATAGGAAGTAGGAATCGACATATACGATTAGGGACAAGGAAAGTAGGGAGCCGCCAACAAGTTTTTAAGGAACTTGTAAACCGTTCAGGGATCATAAAAGTCAACCACGAATAAGGGACAACGATAGGCAACAACGATTGACCCATGAAGGTTACACCCCATTCATAATCCATGAGATTACTAACTCCATATGGTTCGGAACCACGAAAGGAGGATCGGGGATGATGGTACGAAGTGAGTCATGGAGTCACATTCGCCCGTATTGGCCTCTACTCGATTCTTATAGTGAAAAGTGATTCCTGCGATCTCAAAGGCATACAAACAAAATATTCAATTTGCTCTAATCTATTATTTGGCTAAATTGGTTGAATATTAATGCAATATATAATTCTAAAATATCGTGATCACTTAATTTAACAACAAAGATTAAAAAGGAACCTAAACCGGTTGTCCAAATTATCTTATTAGGCGTGATTTTCAATTACGTATTCCCTTTAAACATGCAATATGGTGATCATAAATAATAGAATAAACATTAATATTGGAAGCAATTTAGCAATAATTCCAACAATATAAAATTATTAGAAAAATAATAGAAATAAGAGGAACATAATTCTTACTTCGATTCTGTTTGTTTGCAACTACAAAATAATAAACGAGTTAGTAACTTCAAGGAAATAATAATAAAACAATAACTAAATTAAATTAAATAAAGTAGAGTGGATTTGGGGCCAAACCCTCAAACAATTCTACCTTTCACGCCTTGGCTTAAGAACAGAACCACGAGTAAAGTATAGACTCTTTGGAGTACTTGAAGAAGGAATTTTGAAATAAGAAGGGTAGGCTAGTGTTTAGGCTAAAGCATAGAAGAGAGAAAAAACTAGAGTATTAATTGATGTCCCGTACATCAGAAATGAGGAGGTATTTATAGAGAAAATGTGCTGAGGGAACACACGGAACCCTAAAATGATATAAACCCTTAAAAAAGTATCCCGCGACACGGCAAACTGCACCGTGACACGGGAAATCTCACTATCAGACGGGAAACATTCCCGTGACACGGTGCAATTCTAGTGTGACGCGGGAAATATTTAGCAAACGGGGAAGAAAACGCGTTAAGGGTTTACGCGGAAAGGACACAGAAATTCCCGTGTCACAGCAGGTTTCCCGTGTCACGGGAAATCCCAGCGTCAGACGGGAATGATTCCCGTGACACGGTTGATTCCTACCGTGGCGCGGGAATTTTCAGCCCGCTTTTCCGTCTAAATACATTTTTAACCCTAATTTCGTTCAGCATTTTAAGTGTCGATTGATAATTTCGGGCCTTTTTCTGATTTATTATTATTTGGGCTAAAATAAGAAAATAAATAAATAAAATAAATAGAAGGTTTGGGCCAAAAATAAATAAGAAAACAATAAAATAAAAAAGGTTCGGGCTGAAATTAAATAATAAATTTAAGCTGAAATTAAAACTATGCTTTTACAAAACATTAAGACTAATCCATGAACATTTCAAAGAGGAACGAGATGCCCCAACAACCCATTCTTGAGTTGGAAATTTTTGATGTTTGGAGTATAGATTTCATGGGTCCTTTTCCTTCTTCATTTGGGAATCGATACATTCTTGTTGCCGTTGATTATGTGTCAAAATGGGTTGAAGCCATTGCTTCTCCAACAAATGACCATAAGATGGTAATGAAGTTGTTCAAGAAGATTATATTCCCAAGGTTTGGCATTCCCAAGGCGGTCATAAGCGATAGTGGCTCTCATTTCGTGCATTATGCTTTTCACGCATTACACTTTGGGCTCCCTTACCATCCTCAAACTAGTGGGCAAGTGGAGGTGTCCAATCGTCGAATTAAGTTGATACTTGAGAAGACGGTTGCAAGAAATAGGAAGGATTGGTCGAAAAAGCTTGATGATGCCTTATGGGCATATCAAACGGCCTTCAAAACTCCTATTGGTACCACTCCTGACCGATTAGTTTATGGGAAGTCTTGCCATCTTCCGGTGGAGCTTGAGCACCGCACTCATTGGGCAATTAAGAAGATTAATTTTGATTTGGGAAGTGCAGGGAACAACGTTGGTTGGATCTCCATGAATTGGAAGAGCTTCGTTTGGATGCCTATGATTGTGCTAGTTTGTATAAGGATAGAGCTAAGGAGGTGCATGATAAGCTCATTGAGAAGAAGGAGTTCAATCCGGGAGATAAGGTGTTCCTCTACAACTCAATAATGAGGCTCTTTCCCGGAAAAATGATATCTCGTTGGACCAGTCCATTTGTTGTTCAAGAGGTCTTTCCAAATGGTGCTATTGAAATTTCTCCTTTGGACCTTTCAAGGGCTTTCAAGGTCAACGGACATAGGCTCAAGCGCTACTATGATGGAGTTTTTGTTGGATTCATTCATGATATGACTCTCTATGATCCACCTTGAAGGGGTGGAGAATGTCAAGCTAATGAGTTTAAACAAGCGCTTATCGGGAGGCAACCCGAGCTTCTAACCTTTTCTCATTTTCCTTTGAATTTTCTTTTTATTTTGATGATTTTATCCTCTTTTAATCTTGTTTTATTTTGTATTTTAGGTGAATTTGATTTGAAATCCAACAATCTTGATGCCAAGTTTGAGGTAGAATTGTCCAAGTTCATGTGTTAGAAATTTGTGTAAGTATGGAACTTGGTGGGTTCTTTTGGTGGGTTCATGAAATTCTTACTTTGAACCCACTTGTAGGCGTCGCTCGAAGTGCGCCTACGTTAAAGCATGTGTGAATATACTTGGCAGTCATAGGAAGTAGGAATCGACATATACGATTAGGGACAAGGAAAGTAGGGAGCCGCCAACAAGTTTTTAAGGAACTTGTAAACCGTTCAGGGATCATAAAAGTCAACCACGAATAAGGGGCAACGATAGGCAACAACGATTGACCCATGAAGGTTACACCCCATTCATAATCCATGAGATTACTAACTCCATATGGTTCGGAACCACGAAAGGAGGAT